AAACTAGACTAGCTCCTTATGCCACACACAAGCATAAATTCAAAATGGATCAAAGACTTAAATGTTAGACACAAAACCATAAAAATCATAGAAGAAAACATAAGAAGCAAAATCTTGGACATTGCTTGTAACAATATTTTATTGGATACATCTCCACAGGCAAGGGAAACAAAAGAAAAAATAAATAGATGGGACTATATCAAACTAAAAAGCTTTTTCACAGCAATGGAAATAATCAACAAAAAGACAACCCACAGAATAGGTAGTATTCGCTGATATATCTGATAAGGGGTTAATATCCAAAGTTTAAAGAACTTACAAAACTCAACACCGAAAAAAAAACCCCAAACAACCCAATTAAAAATTGGGTAAAAGACCAGACTAGACACTTATCCAAAGAGGACATACAGATGGCCAATAGATGTATGAAAAGATGTTTAACATCACTAATCATCAGAGAAATATAAATTAATACCACAATGAGATATCTCATTTCTATCAGAATCATCATCATCAAGAGATCAACAAACAACAGGTACTGGCGAGGATGTGGAGAAAGGGGAAACCTTTTGCACTGTTGATGGGAATGCAAACTGGAGCAACCACTGTGGAAGGCAGTATGGAGATACCTCAAAAAATTAAAAATGGATGTGCTTTTCAACTCAGTGATCCCACTTCTGAGCATGTATCTGAAAGAACCCAAAACTCTAATTCCAGAGAACAACAGCAGCCCTATGTTAATTGCAGCATTATTTACAATCACTGAGATATGGGAGAAGCTCAAGTAGACATCCATCTGTAGATGAGTGGATAAAACAACTATGGGACAGGTACGGAATGGAACTCTACTTGGCTGTAAAAAAGATAATTTTACCCTTTGAAACAATATGGACAGACCTGGAGAACATTACACTAAGTAAAATAAGCCAGGCAGAGCATGACAAATATTATCTGATATCACTCATATGTGGAATTTAATGAACAAACCGAACTAACAAAGAAAATGGGAACAGGCTCAGATGGAGAGCAGAATGACAGCTGTGGAGGGGGTGGGGGTGAGGGGTAGAAGAACTGAGAAAAAAGGGAAAAGAACTGGACATGGACAGCAGTGTGGTGATTACTGCAGGCATGGGGATATAAGGGGGATAAATGGTAATGGGACAAAAATACAATAAAGATTAAATTTTAAAAGAAGTTAATGAAAAAAAGAATTTTCCTCCAAAAGAACAGGACATAACATTTTCCAAAATGATTCATCACTAATTCTAGAAATAGCTAGCTTCCCATGATTTGGAAATTACTTGAGTTAACTAACATAGTTAATTGAGAAATATTGGCAATTAAATTAAGCAAAATATACTTCAAAATATGAAGAGCATAGCTCTTGAATATTCATATCAAAATTATTTTACCCATATGAATTTATTCACTCACTCACCCACTTATAGCTGTGAGCCTTAAGAAGGCCACAGAATATCCTGTAGGGGTATGTAATCTTTAGCAGGGAGGAGAGGCTAAACCATATAAATGAATAACAATACAAAGCAGTACCTAAGAGCTTGTTCAGATGACAATAATGTCGTTTCTTAGTAAGACCTTAACAATTATAAGATTCACCACCAACTTAGTAACAACATTTTTGGGAAAAGAAAACTATCCCACTACATGTACATATGAAAGATAAGATACATCCAAGCATTAAAAGATCATAATCATTAATTCAACAAACATTTATGAAGTGTGTACTACATACCAGTAATACCAGGCACTGGAGCTAAACATGACAAAAAAAACAAACCCAAAGACCTCCCCGATTTTACACTTTCAAAAGGCAGAAAGACACTAATTGTGTGTGCTGTGCCAATCAAATCCATTCTTCAGGTTTAGTAGGGACAGATGGACGGATGGATGGAAGAATAAATGGATGTACAGACAAACTGACAGGTAGGTAGGTAGACCAAATAGACAGATATGAACGGATAGGTGAATAGACAGACAGGTACAGATGGAGAGATAGACAGGCAGACAAACAGCTGGCCAGATAAAATGAATTCATAGTTACAAAGATTCCTAAAGAAACCTCCAAGCCTGGAATATTCTATTGTATCAAAAATGTAAAGAAATATTATTTATTATGATAGCATTACCCTGACAACACACCACACAAAAATACTAGAAGGAAACTACATAACAATATCCCTCATGACCATAGATTTAAACATTCCTAATCAATTATTATTAGCAAATCAAATTCAGCAATGTATAGATAGGATAATACATTGTGATCAAGTTGAGTTTATCACAGCAATGCGGGTTTGGTTCACAATAGAAAAATCTACCAAAATAATTCCCCACATTAACACACTAAAAAAGTATACAATCATCTTGAAAGATGTGGGAAAAAAAACATTTGACGAGACTCAACATTCATTCCTGAAAAACAAAAAAAATCTCAGCAATTTAGGAACAAAAGGAAACTTTGTCAACCCAATGAAGGATATGTACAAACCCTCCATACTAACATCACATTTAATGTTATTAAGCTGAACGCTTTCCCCGAAGACTGTGCACAAGAACACCCTCTCTCAGCACTCCTCGTCAACACTGCGTTGGAGAGCCCTACACAGAGCAATTAGGCAAATGTATACAGAGGCGGTGAGAGCAGACACTCTGTATGTATTATATCCACAGACCAGAAATTCAATTAGATGTTTTTGCTTTCATTTCCAACTGTTCATTACTAGTATGCAAACACATAATCAATATGTTTCTATGACCTTAATAAACCCACTTACACAGTATTGTACTTTTTTTGTAGATTCTTTTTGTTTTCATTATGATGTCTATAAATAGAGATGGTGCGAATTCAAAATGGGACGGTCAACTATGAAAACATTTTGGAAGTATCTTATTAATATTTTCAACCACTATATAAACTAGCAGACCCACTCCTAGGTATTTATTTACTCAAAAGAAATGAAAACAAATGGCCACAAATATACCTGCATGGGAATGCTTATAGCAGCTTTAGTCATAATTGCCAAAAACTGGCAACAACCCAAAGACCCATAAATGGGTGAACTTGAAACACCCATGATAGTTTTTTCTTAAAATAAAATAACACAGAATAATGTAGAGATAGGAAGCAAAATGGAGTTTTAAGAAACTTCAGCTAGAAAAATATCAAATGGACCGCAACAATAAAAAGACTGGAAGCAAGAAGAAGAGCTAGGAAATACTAGAGTCATTTTCTAACGATCCAAAGGTATTTTTAAAATGTGCTCTGCTTAACCTGGTATAGGGTAGTTCAAGGACTGTGGATTGACCCTGCACGGTTTTCAGCCTGCAGGCACCGCTCCATGATTTCGAGCATGTTAACAGTACCATCCTCACAGTGTTAATGTAAAGATAAAATAAATTAACATCTATGTAGCAATTTTTAAAGTGCCTGAGCTGGTTATTAGCTATTATTATTGCAAATGTTATTCTTGTTAAGCAGCTCTTAAAACTGTTATTAATCCTACCATAGCTTTGGCAGAATCCTGTCCAACATATCTTTTGATTGACTCCTAAAATAATGATCTTAATTTTCTCATCTCTTTGAAATCTTCTAGACATTCTATAACAGTAGTAGTAAGTATCTTAACCCAAATATTTCATCTGTTCATATCTAAAGCATACCTTATAAGTTTTGATACCATTTGCTGAATTTATTAGATACCTACTGCTATCCTCCACATTCGCACTTTTTGTTTCTGTTCTGATTCTGAATATTAAAATCAGCTTTCCAGTAATATTTGATACCTTGATTATCCTTCAAATACCTAAGTGCACAGCTTATAAGCACAAAAAGGTAACAAATTTCTCCCATCTCTACACCAACTAATAAGATTCTAGAAAAAACATATCTAGAAATCACCTATGTTTTTCCTTCTTTCATAAAAGTAAACCTCTCTACTTCGTAGAGAATCAGTGATCTTCCCAAATCTTTCTTCCCTCCTTCGTTAAATGAAGATACTGTATTAGACGAAAATGGTTCTGAACCAAATGTTTACATAATTTGAACTCCAACTAAATATATTAAAGGAGCACAGGTGGCATAGGATAAAGATGCTTCTTTAAAAATCAGTTTTGCTAACTGGTGGTAATTGGAATATAACTAAACCAAATTAATAATGCCAAGATTTATAAATTGTGCATCAATATAAGATTTAGTACATAGCACAGAAGCCCTATTTTTACATCATCTCCATTAATTTTTCTAGTATAATTTATATTTTTCTATTTATAGCTGCTGTATAAATTACATATATATAAAATAAATCTCTTTGCTGTGATATTTTGCTTTCATTCATACATTTTAATTTATATACATTTGAATGAGCAACTGCCATAAAAAGTTTAAAAAACAACAATAAAAACACACATTTCCCAAGTAACTTCCATCTTTCCACATCCTTCAGGTATTGCTATATTTGCAATGATCAGATTTCATGCAAATCTTGCAATGGCATCACAAAGCTTTATTTTAAAAGTGTAGTTGAAAAGTAAAATAAACACTAAAATCAAAGTTTTTTTTAACCTAAGCATTTTTATTTACTATTAATTTCTTACATTCACAAAATATAAACACTCATGCCCTACATACTTGCAAAGGATTAGAATTTTAAAAATATGCAAAATAATATCTTTAAATAACAAGTTGGTATTTATTCTTTACAATGGAAGTTAAAAATTGATGAAATAACCCAATAGAGACTATTCCCAAATATTAGGCTGGGCATTAGGGGAAGCAGGCCAGTTTCTCCCAGAGGGTTATTAAAATATTTTAGTATTTAGTTGGGTCAGCTATTTTGGTTGCCTTTTAAAACAACTTAAATTAATTATGATAAAGAGAAAAATTTCCAAATATACACTAAATTTCATGAGCATAAAGTAAAAAGAAAAATATCAAAACAAACAAGGAAGAAGAACCTGTTAGGGTTTTGGAAGGCACCTACCTCATGCACTAGAGCAAGTGAGGTCTGCTTGAAACTGCGCCCTCTATTGGCCATCAGTCGATTCAAAGGTTTACCATCTTTACTCTGATACATTGAAACATCGTAACAAAATAACATACCACCTTAAAAAAAACAACAGAAAAACATTTCTTTTGAAAACTTCATTGATTAGATTCCCAGTAATCCATATTCAATCCATATATATAGAGAATTTACAAATTAAAAGAATTTGCCAAGCAAATTATATTTGGCTATAGGTGTCCAAGGAAAAAGTAGAATGTATAACTTATATTTAAACTATCACTTATTTCAAAGCTTTATTCACTTTTATTTTTTTACATATTTATTTTTTCAACATTTTTTATTGTTGTTCCAGTAGTTTCCTGCCTTTCCTCCTCACCCCAGGCCAACACCCTAGCCCTCCCCACCTCCCTCCCATTTCTATCCCCACTTGTTACTGTCCATGTGTCCTTGATACTTGTTCCTGCAAACCCTTCACCCTTTTCCCCTAGAATGCCCTCCCTCTCCCCTCTGGTCACTGTCAGCCTGTTCTCAATTTCAGTGTCTTTGATTATATTTTGCTTGCTTGTTCATCAAAGCTTTATTCACTTTTAAATAAATGAATAAGTTTACAAGTCATGAGTTCCTTTGAATTTTATGAACTGTTGCTTTAGAGATTTTATTAAGCTTTTTTTAAAAAAAATTACAATTAAAGAGAAATGCTTGCACATATCAATCTCCTGATACCATGGGCTCCTTCAGTTGATACCTACAAGTGGACAAGGTTTTCCTCATACCAGCACTTATGTACATTGATTCTTCCCTTTTCCCTCCCTGCTCCTCTAACCCTTCTCTTCCCAGTCCTTCCTACCCTGATGTATTAAGTTCTCAAACTGAACTTCTAGCTCCAGCTGACCACCAGTATTAGGGGAAAAGTAAGGACAGGCAGACAAGTGCTAGAGTGAGTTGGGGTAGTCTTGGAAACTGCCTGGGTAATTTTAAGCCAATGAAAGACACACTGAAGGACTAAGATAATTTAAAACCGAGATCATTACATTTTTAAACATCTCGTTTTGAAGAATGGTATACACAGACAAAGGTATACACACCATAAGCATACAGAGTTCAGTTAACTCTCATAAACTGAACAAACATGTCTGAGCTCCACCCAGATGAAGAAACAAAACATTACTAACATCCCAGAAGCCTTTCCTGTTTCCTTCCAGTCACATGCAACCCTGTCTCAAAGGTAGCAACCTTCTAGAAACCACTTTGCCTACTATGGTACTTCATATAAATAGAATTAGACTGTAAAATGGCTTTTTAAAAATCTGACTTCAGTCAGCATAATCATTGCAAGAATCATTCATTCTTATTGCTGAATAATATTCCATCATGTGAACAAACCACAATTTATTTATCCATTTTATTGTCAATAGGCATTTAGATAGCCTCCAAGTACAGGGCAACTCAAACAATGCTGCTCATGCACACACTATATATACACCTGTCGTCTAGTGACTTCATTTGGGTTTATCCCTAGGAATGACATACCTCGGTAACAGTATAAATTTATTCAGTACCAGTTTTCCAAAGTGGTTGTACTAACATGCATTCCAGCAGCAGTTCCGGTTGCTCCACATATTTACCAACACTTTGTATTTTCCATCTTTTTTTCTTTATTTATTTTTAAGTATTTTTATTGATTATGCTATTACAGTTTTCCCAATTTTTCCCTTTATCCTCCCTCTGCTCTGCCTCCCCCCCGACCCTTCAACACTGCCCCTCACCTCAGTTCATCGTGTCCATGGGTTGTACCTGTAAGTTCTTTGAGTCCTATTTCCCATACCATTTTTATCTTTCTCCATCTATTTTATGCCTACTACTTATGCTTCTTCTTCCCTGTACCTTCCCCCCCTATTCCTCCCTTCCCCTTCCCCACCAAACTCCCTCTGTATGATGTCCATTTCTCTGATTCCGTTCCTGTCCTGGCTGTTTGCTTAGTTTTTTCTTGTAGGTTTGTTGATAGTTGTGAGTTTGTTGTCATTTTATTGTTCATATTTTTCATCATTTTTTTTTCTTAGTTAAGTCCCTTTAACGTTTCATATAGTAAGGGATTAGTGAGGATGAACTCCTTTAACTTGACCTTATCTGGGAAGGACACTTTATCTGCCCTCCCATTCTAAATGAAAGCTTTGCTGGATAGAGTAATCTTGGATGCAGGTTCTTGTCTTTCATGACTTCAAATACTTCTTTTCAGCCCCTTCTTGCCTGTAATGTTTCTTTTGAGAAATCAGCTGATAGTTTTATGGGAACTCCTTTGTAGGGAACTGTCTCCTTTTCTCTTGCTGCTCTTAGGATTTTGTCTTTAATCTTGGGTAAATAAATGATGATGTGTCTTGGTGTGTTCCTCCTTGGGTCCAACTTCTTCGGAACTCTCTGAGCTTCCTGGACTTCCTGAAAGTCTATTTCCTTCACCAGATTGGGGAAGTTTTCCTTCATTATTTGTTCAAATAAGTTTTTAATTTCTTGCTGCTGCTGTTCTCCTTCTGGTAACCCTATAATTCAGATATTGGAACATTTCACGTGGTCCCAGAGAGTCCTCAGCCTCCCATTTTTTGGATTGTTTCTTCGTTCTGATCCAGTTGAATGTTTTATTTTTTCCTTTTGTTCCATATTGTTGCTTTGAATCCTGGTTTCCTTATTGTCACCGTCGGTTCCCTGCATATTTTGCTTTATTTCATTTTGAGTATTTTTCATTTGTTCTTTCATTTTTTGACTAAGTTTAATCAGTTCTGTGAGCATTGTGATTACCAGGCTTTAAATTCTCCATCGGTTAAGGTGGCAATGTCCTCATCACTTAGGTCTGACGTTTTGCTGTGTTCTTTCATTTGGGCCATATTTCTTTGTCTTGGTGCAGCTGATAGGTTGTAAGGGGCAGGGCCTTAGGTGTTCGCCGAGGCAGGGCAACCCTTTTTGCTGTGCTGCCTGTGGGGAGGGACCAGAGAGGGAACAGTGCAGCTCGCCTGCTCATCTCTAGCGCACCTTCAAACAGACTCCTGTGTCAGAATGGAAGTATCTCCCACTGCAGCAACCCCAGCCGTAGCCCACAGTCAGCTCTGAGTCTCAGCTTCCCCCTTAAGTCAGCCCCACCCCTCAGCTGTTTTTCTGAGTCACTCCCCCCATGGGGGTCTGCTTTACTGGTCTGGTTGTTTTGGTTGATTTTTTTTCTTTAATTCCTTGGTTGTTGAAGTTTTATGCAGTTTAATTTTCTGGTGCTTCTCATTGTTTATTGATTTTAGATCGGTTGTTATCCTCCTTTTGGTTGTGAGAGGAAGTGAAGGGTTTCTACCTACACCTCCATCTTGGCCGGAACCCTCATCTTTTTTGCATTTTAACCTATCTGTTCAGTGTACACAAAACAAAAGAGCTTCAAAATATATGACAAAAATGAGCAGAGTAGTTTATTTTCAAAAAGATTTTTTTCAAAAAAGATGACATAGACCTGCAGTAAAAGTGCTAAACTTTAAAGTGCCTTTTTCGATAGCTTGATGAAGCGGACAAATAAAATCAGTAAGTTTGCAGAATATCTGAACAACACTGTGAACAAAGTTTAATTAGTTGACATATAGTAAGTAGAGTGACAGAATTCCTATGCTTTATGGGGTAGTATCTTATATAAGAAGATTTTAATTTCATCAAGTTGACTAAGTTGATCATCTACTCATATGTTCACTGGACATTTGAATACTCTCATTCTGAAGGGTGTTTAATTCTATTTTCTGTTTTCTGATTGTCTTTTTCTCACTGATTTGCAAAAATGTGTTACATATTCTAGATAAGAGTTTTTATCAGATATATGTATTATTTCTTCTTGCATTCTGTGGTTTGCCTTAGTACTCTCTTTAAGGTACATTCTGGTTAACACATGTTCCTGATTTTAATATATTTTGTCATTATTTTTATAACTGGAGCACTTAATTACAGAATCATTTGTTGTAAAGATCATCCCGTCTCTCCACAGTACTGCAGTGCCGCCTCTGTAATAAGTCTGGTGACCTTGCTTATGTGTGTCTATTTCTCAACATTCCATATTCTTCCATTGGTCTGTTTGTCTGTCCTTGCACCAGGACCACATGGTCAATCATTGCAGTTTTATAATAGATTTTGACATCCAGTAATGTATATCCTCCTACTTTGTTTTTATTCTTCAAGATTTCATTGGCTATTCATGCATTTTCATGCATATTTTAAAATCAGCTTACCAATTTCCAAAAAACCCCACTGGGATACTGACTTGGATTGGGATGAACCTAAATATCAATTTGAAGAGAATTAACATTTTTACAACACAGTCTTCTAGTCCATATGCATTGTATATAATTCCATTTGTTAGAATTTGTTTAATTTTTCTCTGTAATGTTCTGTATCTTCCAGCATAAAGGTTTTGCATGCTTTTGATAAATTTCCTCTGGGTACTTGGTATTTTTTGATACTACTATAAATGGTATAGATTTTAAATCATATTTTTATTTGAATGGTACATAGAATATCTCACTGATTTGGGGGGCAATTTTGTAGTGATTATTTAGTTTTTTAAAATCTTTTAAATTATCACTGATTTTTATATGGTGACCTTTGTATATATGCAGTAATCTTGCTGAATTCATTTATTAACCCAATTAATCTGTAGATAATTTTCTGTGTACACAATCATGCCATCTGCAAATAATGACTATTTTATTTATTCTTTTCTAACACTTATGAGTTGTTTTTTTTTGGCTTATTACACTAGCTATGTCCTCCATTACAATACTGAACAATGGTGATAACAAGCATGCGTATATCTACATTTCTGTATTTTATTATCTGAACTTATATAAGTTTACCATTTTGTTAAATTTTCAAAGAATCAACTTTTGGCTATGATGATTTTATGTTTTCTACTGCACTAAATTTTATTCTTACATTTATTATTCCTTCCTTTTTCCTTTCTTTAAATTTAATTTGCTGTTCTTTTCTAAGCATCTTGAGATAGAAACTTAAATCATTATTTTTTCCTTTTTTCTTTCTGAATATATTTTCTGCAGGTATAAGTTTCCCTGTAACACTCTTTTAGCAGTTGTGATTGGCTTATTATACTTCAGTTTAAGCTATTTTCTGATTTCCATTTTGATTTTTAGTTTAATTCTTGGATCATTTATAAATGTAATGTTCCATTTCTAGGCGACTGGAGCCATTCCCGTTATCTTTCGAGTATTTACTTTTCATTCCATGTTCATCTGGGGACAGGCTCTAAATGACTTCAGTATTTTGAAATTTGTTGAAGTTTATGGTTTGTCATATTGTCATTTTGGTAAGTTCCCCCATGTACCAGCAAAAAGCATAGGAATTCTATCACTGTTCTATGTATGTCAACTAAGTAATGTTTGTTCAGAGTGTTGTTCAGATATTCTGCAAACTTACTGACTTTATTTGTCTGCTTACTCATCAAGCTATTGAAAAAGACACTTTAATGTTTAACACTTTTACTGCAGGTCTATTTCATCTTTTTGAAAAATAAAATGGTCTGCTCATTTTTGTCATATAATTTGAAGCTATTTTATTTTGTGTACACTGATTAAAACAGTGATATTTTCTTTTTTTAAATTTTATTTAGTATTTTTCAAGTACAGTTTTTTGTCTATTTCTCCCATCCCAGCCCCCCGCCCCGTGGTCCCCACCTCCCTCCCATTTCCACCCCCCTTAGTTCTCGTCCCTGTGTCCTTCATACTTGTTCCTCCAAATCCCTCCCCCTTTTCCCCCTTAAATTTCCTTCCCTCTCCCTTCTGAAAACAGTGATATTTTCTTAATGGAGAGACTTCATTATCTCCATGAAATGTCCCTACATTTCTAGCTTCTTCCTTTTTCATATGTCCAGAACTTTTTCATTGCATACGGGATAGTAAATAAAAGAACCACAGAAATTTTAGTCGAAATGGTGTTAAACTCCTCTCCTCTGTCAGGCAGATAGAGTGAAGGACTGATCTTCACAATCAAATCAGGGACTGGACTGGGTTAGGCTTATTTATAGCTCTGGTAAATCTCAGTCTATGTCTGGTTCAACCCTGTTCCTAGAATATGCCTCCCCAAGATTTTCAATTGGCAGTCTACTCGGACTCTTAAGTATGGAATAGTTATGAGAGATTCTGATCTGTTCTCATAGGTTTTCAGCTTACCTCTTTACCTCTCCCATCCCTTAAAGTTCCAAATCTTGGCAAATATCTGGAGGCAGACACAGGCTGTGTATTGGGGGTTCCTCAAGTCTCCTGTGCTGTCACTCAGGCACCATGTAAGATCTCTACTGGTTTCTCTATCTCATGCATCAGCCTCTTAACTCAGCCTCTAGCTCAAGTCGAAATCAGTAAATGCACCCAGGTGCAACGAGCTATATCTTTAGTATTAATTCACTACTCATGTCCTTTGTTTTCAGACCCATTCTCCTAGCCAGTCTTTGCTCCCTACGCACAAGACTGAAGGAGATTTCACTTTGCCTCTCAGAAGAAGCATCAGCCTAGTTCTTTGACTTTCAGGGCAAACTCAAAATTTAGCAAATATCTTAAGAGGAAAATCTCCAATTCGTCTCTTATATTAGTCAAAGTCTTCAGAGAAACAGAAGGAAAAAGAGGTAAATATCTGTGAGCTGGAGAAACAGAAAGCCAGCAGTATAATTAATTCAGTTGGAGTCCAAATGCCTGAGAACCAATAGGGACAATGTCCAAGGGCAGAAGATAGACATACTCATTCCTGCAAAGAGAACAGTTTCATGCTTTTTCTGTTCTATTCAGGCCTCTAACAGATTGGACAATGCCCAAATACAATGGTGAGGGTGATCTTCTTTACTCAATTTACAGATTCAAATGCTAACCTCTTCTGAATACACACTCACAGACATATATAAAAATAATGTTTTAATAGCTACCTGGGCACCTCTTCGCCCAATCACACTGACACATAAAATTTACCATCACATCACCCTAGTTCAGTGGAACCTATAAAAGGTCCACTGGTTTCTCTGTCCTCTAATCAGCCTCTCCCCGGCCAAACCCCAACCCTAGCCCACAACTAGAATCACTGAATACCCTTCTTGGGGATGGGAGCAGTCCTCAAGGGGTCTCCTATTCTGGTATTTTTGTCTTCTATTCATTTTTGCTTCTACAGTTCCCTGATGCCTTTAAAATGGGATTTATTTTGTCATTTATCTTGCTGTGTCTACATGTTAGCAATGGCAGCAATGCCTTGCCATGAATACTCCACCCTACTCAAAAATGTAAGTTAAAAGATTATATTAAAAACTTGTAGGGTGGGGTGGGGGAGTGGTGGGGAAAAAATGCAGACAACTGTAATTGAACAACAATAAAGTACATAAAAAAATGAAAGTACAACAATAAAGTACATAAAGTACATATACGACTTAATTTTTCCCTAACCAGATATATTTTAAAGTTAGATACATCTGAGACAGAAAGAAAAAAAAAAAAACTTGTAGCTGAGTACTGTGTAATATGCTCACCTGCAAGGCCAGGTTTCAAACCTGGCTGCTTGTTCGTTCCGTACATTTTTAACATAAAATTGGGGATTCCTGCTACTGTCTTTCCTTGGTCTAAGCGGCCGCCTCCTTTCAATGCCAAGTGATAGACCCCACGGGGCATATTCACCATTTCTTGTTTCATGAGTGATGTAAAAAATTCCTCCAAAGCTGAAAGAGATAAAAGGAGATCAAAAGTACAATATTACAGTATGCTAGAAGAGAAACATTCATTCTTAACTCACACACACACACACACACACACACGTGCACACAACAGCAACAACAACAACTTAGCCTATTTCAGGCCAAACTTCACAAAGTAAAAAGAGAACTCTTGATCCTTATCCTCTTTTTAGTGCGCCAAGTCAGACCATGGCACCCAGTTGCTCAAGCTTAAAAACTTAGCCATCCTTAACTTCTCTCTTTCCCTCACTCCTTATATGTACTCCATTAGCAAGGCCTAGGTCAACCTTCAAAAATACATCCCAAATCCAACAATTTCTCTGCATTTTCACTGCTACTTACCCAGTCATTATCTCCTCTCTTCCTCATCCTAATTTAAGAACAAGTTTGTTGTTTTCTACTCCTCATGACCACCCCTACAAACCATCTTTTCTACCCAAAACCCAGAAATTTATGTCATTCCCCTTCCTAACATCTTCCAAAGGTTTTTCACTGTAGATAGAATAACATCAAAACTTCTGACAATGATCAAGGTTTTCTATAATCAAGTCTGACTCCCCCTCTTACCTTCTCTCTAACCCCCTGCCCTCCTCACTAGAGATGTTAAAGGCGCACTTCCACGCGGCCTTTTTCCCATTCCTCAGTAACATGAAGTTCATAGCTAACTCAGGGCCATGACACCTGCTACTCCTTCTACATGGAACACACTAGACCCAGAATTCCACGTGACTGGCTGCTTCTTGTCCTTTAGGTATTTTCAGAGAAGCTTTTCATCTTTCTGTAGTAATATCAGTACAATTATTAAAAAACAAAATATTAATTTCTTTGCTGTGGTGCGTTTAATTAATCCCAAAAGGCTTATTACTTGACATTTTTACTTATTATAAGGTAACACAGAAATGTGAGATCAGAAGATAATAGATACTCAAACAAAATGCTTGATAAGATTATAGGTTCATATTCAAGAGTTATTTTCCGAAGAACCACTAGAGGTTGCCCAATGCAAAAAACAAAAACATTAAAGGTAAGCAAACTGTATGGAAAACAAAAAAGGAAACTACTGCATGTGCCTCTTCTTACAGGAACAAAAAGGCAAAGATACACCTAACAAAACTGGAATTTCACTCTGAATAGATAAAAAAAGTCTCCTTTAATGACCATGATGAAATTAAAGGCAGTAAGTGCTCACTGGAGCATCTATTAGGTGCCTAGTTTGTTAAGCCCATATAGAAACTCCCTAGCTGCAACCAAGCTTCTCCATTCAGAGCCACGAGAACACTGTGTGGGATGCTTTCCACTTACCCCTCTGGGACCATCCTCTGCCCTTTCGCCTGTGCTCTGTGCTCTGTAAGAATAACCTTTAACAAACGCATCATCAGGCTCCCCTGTCCTCTGTCTTCACTGAACGGAAACACTGGCGGGAGGCCAGAGAGTGGAAACACAGTAGGGTCAGGCCTGTATTCCCCGATTCCCATCTGCAGGTTTGCTACAGGTAGCCTACATTGCTCCGGAAGGCCCTGGCTCCCCTATTTATGACACAGATGCTCTCTCTCATTTTCCTAACTGTTACTTCCCCTTACCTCTTCTAGCTAAGAGACATTAACCACTCTGGGAGGATTCACCATGGCTTGTGATTTTTCTTTAACCTTGACACCGTAAGAGTAAAGAGTCCCTTCATTCAACTACATTCCGATCAATTACTTCATCTGAATGTGCCTTTCCTGTCAAGACCCTAATCAATATCTAACTGAAAGAGAGATAAAATAATATCCAACTGCAGGCCATATACCCAATACTGGCATTCACATGCACACGTATGACTGCTGCAAGCCAGCTGAGGATGAGTATAGACTTTTTGAGATGCAGCTACAATCACTGTTTGTGAGGACATAGGCGCTATGATGAGAGAAGGTAATTTCATGCTTCCTCAGAAGGAATCCTATTCTGGCAAAAGCTGATATATGTCAAGAAATAAGTCCACATCTGCAACAGACTAACCCAGGAATGTAAATTTGTGTACTTGTCAAGCTCTTCAGAGAACTAAGGATTCTCACGCCAACTCCAGCCCTGAGAATAGTTTAAATGAGGATATGATACCAGACTGCAACTGATATAAACACACCATCTTCCCCAGCCACTAAGCTAGCACATAGAATTTTCTTCCCCACTGTCATTGAGTCTTGCCCTACTACTTTCCTTACAGAAGACGAGGTCAGAATTTGAAAAAAAGCTGAAAATTTGTAGGTCACATTGTTAGTTATAAATTTTTTAAAACAACCTACATGTCTTTCAACAGATGAGTGGATAAAGAAAGAGTAGTACATACTACAATGGGATACGGCTCAGTAATAAAAAAGAATAAGTTATACAGGCAAGTATTGGGTGGATTCAAAATGTCCTGAGTTAAAAAAAAAGTGCTAATTCCAAAAGTTTATATACTATATTTAAAAACCTAGAAATTTTGAATAGGTCTATAGTTAACAATGTTGTACCAATATGAAATTCCTGGTTTTAATATTAAACTTTGGGTATGCGAGATGTTATCAATCCAGAGCAGCTCAGGTAAAAGTACACAGAAACTCTCTAAACTATTTTTGTGACTTGTAAGTCTGAAGTTATTTCAAAATTAAAAAAATGAAATTGATGCTAGTAACACCTATATTTAAAATAATGCAAATTACTGAATTTACTCTGCAGCTGCATTTTTGTTTACTTAAAAGGAAGTAAGAAGAGAAAAGGACCAGGACTCACTTACATCCAATGCATTCTGGCTTCCTGCCTAATGTGTATCATCCAGGCTGGACCTTTTAGGGTGTACATTCCTGAGACTGGTGCTCTTTCCTGGTTCTCCTCTGAGTAATCCCAGGAAGGGTGAGGCACAGGAAAATGAAAAACTTGGTCCATGGTGACATGGTGACATGTCCGCTACACACAGACAGCATCTACACTACCCACCTAACTCTAATTATTGAATTTTCTCAAACAGATACAATTGTTGACATCAAATCCTCCCCTTCTTAGGGAAAGGAGCTAACAGCCATCAAGAACTATGTAGAGGAGCTGCCTTGTGGCCAGCACAGCACTGCACAGACTGGGAGGACAGAAACAGCAGATGCCATAGCAACAAGTATCTCCCCTTCTTCTCATACCATAAGCCCAGGGGCTGAGGGGTCCGTGTAAAAGGAAACATCAACATTTAAAAAGCTCAAGAGGACTTTTAACTCTAAGGCTATTTTAGGATACAAGAAGAACTTTGGTAACTGATGTCTCTTTCCTTCAACTCAATATTAACTACAGGAAAGGTCCTCGACTCTGAAGAACCCTGATGGAGGAAGTCGGGAAAACAGAAAAGAGGAAGGGGAAACAAGTATTTACTGCTTGTTCAAGACATTAGGGAAAAATAAAAAGCGAAGTCGTTGTCTAAGTTGTGCCATTCAATTTTCTCTCATAAAAGGAGGTGGGGATTTGGGACAGGAGCTTTGTCAAGAAATAAATAATATGCATATGGCTGAGTCTCTCAGGAATCTCCATGTGAGATAAAACCAAGGAAAAATCTTCCGACATTACAGTGAAATTATGATTGCGAAGATGAGATGACATTTCTTGGGTTTATTGAACTTAACTTTCAGAAATTAAATTTTTACATCCATGAACATCCAAGCTAGAATTGGGACAGGACAGGTTATGGATGCATGTTCAGCAAAATGCTGGCTAATACTGAATTAGAATAATTCGACATAATTATAATAATTTTTAAATGCCATGGTTCTGTAAAATTTATGTTGAAACTAAATGACCATACAATTTTATCTATTTTTTAAAGGCATTAATTTATAGTTCTCCAATATTGGCACCATCTTTGGAGTAATTCCAAAGAAAGATTAAATTTATAATTATGAAAGTAGACAGTAAATCTTGGAAGATTCTAATGATCTTTTCACTTACCTTATATCATAACAAACCATTATTTGAATCAGTGACCTAAAGTCCCACTGCAAATTTGCCTTACAGAAAAAAATTAGAATTTGAAAGAAATTTTAATTTCTCAGTAAAAATGGTTGCTCAAATTAGTTTTCCAATTCAATTTTATTCAAGTCTAACATATTCAGAATATTTTGAACACTGTACTTCTTCAAGGAGCCCTATAGAACAGATGGATGCATTTGGCATTTCAGACAGAAAATATGTATGCAAGATTAAAGTGAGCTATTAATATATATGCATCATAAAAGAACACAATCAAATAGGTAAAAACCACTGAACTGCTAGCTTCCCTGCCCCTAAATAAACAAGCATCACCTGGTAAAACCAAAGGTGAGGTGAGTGACAACAGTTTGAGATAGCAAGAGCCAGGAACGGAAAGATCCACTTCCTTTTCATCACCCTCATCATCTTCATCTTCATCTAGCTCATCAGGAATGTGGATTTCTGGTCTTATCTGCAATGACAGAGAAGACAACACTAAAACATTATGTAAAATCTTTTTTTGGTCCTTTTTATGTCAAGATTTAAAATTTGAGCTTGACTCATTGCTCTATAATATCAAAAGACCATTAAAAATTTTAACAAACTATTCATTTTCTGATTAACTGTTAACCTCTCATCATCTTATCAGATACAATCCCAGATCCATGTAAAAAACTAATGATAAAATATAGTAAGAAAATCACCATAAACCAACAAAAGCAATGATGATTATGGAAAACTAATAAAATCTTACACCATCCAACAGTAAAATGCAAACACTGCCACATTTAATATATTGAACTGCTATGGTTTATAATTAAATATTTTCCTAGTCTGAATACATTTTCTTAAAATTTGTGATTCCAGGCATATCTCCATGTCGAAATTAAAATCTTCCAGTGAGACGTATAGTAGAGATCAGGAGAGGACAGAGTGCTTTAGCTGAGTTTATTTTTGACTTGGCAGTTTGTTGCTCTAGAATATAAAAACACTAAAATCTATAATTGGTAGCTATACTTTATTGTGTGTGATTTGCAATTTGAAGATTTTGTGGTTGCTCTGTGATTAGGGTTGTTTGAACCAAAAATAAAAAATGTAAAAAGATTATCACTATTGTAATTTACACAAGATATAACTGTCAAGCAATTAATTAAATTTTTAATACTTTCAATGACACACCATCATGATGTCCACATGGAGATAATTAAGCATTAGGAAAGGGAATCCAAATATATAAAAGTAGTTGCTATAACCATAAAGTGCCAGAACCCAGTCATTACCATTAGCCTGTCTCCTGGAGTTATTTTTAGAAATAATTAACAATTCCTGCAGACTGCCTTCTTCATAGGTCCCCAAAGCACTGTTCCTTTTAGCAACTGCACTAAGTCAGGGTTCTTGGAGGGGGATTTTAAAAACAAGAGGAAATGCTTCTCATAAGTATCATAATCTCAACTCCAATGAAGCCTTTCAACCATAACTAGTGTTCTCTTCGACAGTTAAGGAGAGAAAACAACCTGACCACCTGAGCACCTTCAAAGACAAAGTTAATTCTGATTCAATATTGAGTACCTAATTCTCAGAAAACTGAGCCAGCCATAATTACAGAGATAACAATAATCCATGCTTCACATGGGGCATTTGTTGATATTAATGCATATGAGAGAAACCCTGGCATGTTTGCAAACATCTTAGTTCTGACAAGTTGACTTTTCAAAGTCTGGTCTGCATGCATACTTGGAAGTTGCCAGAGCTGATGTCATCAGGAATTATCTTAAAGATTCTAACCAGTCCTAGTCGGCTAAAAAGTTCCCAATAAAGGAGTTGGTCTGGGTCCATCTGCTTTACCTCCTGACTTTTTACATATCCACAGTGCAAATTTTGAAAATAATATGTGAACAGTATACTGGGGAAACAGACAATGCTTACAGCTAGAGACTACATCAGGAGTACCAGTTACCACACTAGTCCACCAAAGCACTGGGAAGCTCTGCTACACATCACATTGGAGTGATAGGAGATGAAGGGCAGAGGTAAACACTTAAGCTAATATGAAAACTCAGAGGAATGGTGAGGATGTGGATAAATCAGAATCCTCATACACTGCTGGTGTGAATGGAAAATGATGGAGCCCCCTTGGGAACCAGTTTGGCAGTTTCTCAAAATGTTAAACACAGTTATCATATGGCCCAGAAATTCCACTGCTAGGTATGTAACCAAGAGAAGTGAAAATATATGATCATACAAGAACTTGCACATGAATGTTCATCAATGTTAATGCATTATTCATAATAGCTATTTTAAAATGGAGGCAACTCAAATGCCCATGAACTGATGAAAACATAAACAAAATGTGGCATATCTTTACCATGGAATATTATTCAGTCATAAAAAAGATATGAAGTACAGATAAGCTACACAGAAATGAACTTTGAAAACCTTAAGCTATGAAGAAAGCCAGTCACTAAAGACCCCATACTATATGATTTCATTATAGTAAAGATTCAGCACAGGCAAATTTAGAGAGAGAAAGTAGATTAATGGTTGCTTAGGGCTTGGAAAGGGGTAATGGGAATTGACTGATAATAAGGTGTTCTAAAAATAGACTGTGGTTGCTCTGTGATTAGTTGCACAATTCCTTGAATAAACGAAAACCACTGAATTATATGCTTTAAGTGGGTGAATTAAATGGAATGTGAATCATGTCTCAATTAATCTGTTTAAATAGAAGGAAGGCCATGGGGGGAACAGAGGGGAAGAAGGAGGAAGGAAGGAAGGCTACAAAAAAGAGGCCAAGAGGAAATGGGAGAAGGGAGAGGAAGAGAGGGAGGTGTCATCATTTGAGAGGAAGAATAAGAAGCAGGAATGGAAACCACCATCACCTCCAGTGGGACTTTAACTGGTGTATGAACTACGCCAAATGATCAAATGCCTCTAATTCCAGAATTATTTACTATAAAAGTAAAACAATCATTTTCCCACAGATTTTAGCCTACCTAGTCTTTCTGCTCCATCAACCTAAGTTAGTTAAATAAGTCACAGCAACTGGGCCATCAATATTTCTGAGAGCCACTAAAGAAAGACCTACTAGGTTGGGGATTAAAAAAAAATTGATCCACTCATCCATCTTAAGCTGTCACATTTCATATTCATATAACTGAATGCCTATATTAATTTATCTGCTATATGGTAAATAGCACATGTCTATACCTTACGTAGCATATATTTAACAAGGAAGCTACAGATATACTATAATTTAAGTAGAGATGACATACTCTGCCTACTTATAATGCTATAACGACTCCTTCAATTTTGCTTCTTCAAATGTAACTTGATTCTCCTGAACAAATTAGCACTTATTGTTCGAACTTGGTTTCATTACATTTCTGTCCTTTTCTGCTCATCTCTGAAAGAGCTATTTATTCCAGCTTCCCAATGTGAGCTCCAGCATTTTCCCTTGGCTTGTGTACAACTGAATACGATCAATGTGAGTATAACTAAGGAAAACCAAGAAACATCATATGAAAAAAAATGCCTGTTAACATTATATAATGTGGGTGATTATATTACATTAGCTGCTAAAACACCCAGGAAAACTGCACATATATTTACAACATAAACACACACATACACATACACACACAACTATGACTTTCAAATTATAGCTAAGCTTTACTGGAGAAACTTTAATGGAGAACCAACTATAAAATGATAAATTACTTTTAAAATCTGCTTCCCACTGAATACTGAAAAATTTATATTGGAAAAACTAAATGTCTTACTATTGGTTCTGAGTTAGATAACCTTTCAGTTACCTTTCTTTGTGTGTAACCTATAAAAATCCAGGAGTTTGCACATAAGCAGAGGGTTTTATTTGGAACACATCAAGTATTTGCATAAATTCCTCTAAAAAGATAAACAGCTTCTGATGAATGCAGTGACATTCACTTAAATCAAAGCCTAACAGGCAACACGGTATTAATACCCAGCTGGCATGGACAACAAGCCATCTTCTATTATATTCACATCTAAAGTTAACTCCAGAAGTCAATAAGACAACTTATTTTCAGATCTCTATAATAAAAATGTTTAATTTTTAAATAACTAAATATTTTTAAATGAACCCAAATCACAGAGAGAAGAGCCAATCTTCTACCTCAATGTTTATCCATTACTGATTGTTTTATCAGGAAAATGATTCTCTATTTGTTTTTTTGGTTTGGTTGGCTGTTTGGGGGAGATTGATTTTTTTTGGAACAAACTAAGGCAGAGGAGAAGGATAAATAGCTAAAAACAGAACAATGAAATGCAAACTAAGAAGGAGAAAGCATTCATGTCTATTTTTTAACATTAGGATCAATAGGTCCTCAATGAGCCCCCCAATTTTTTTGACCAACTATAGATTTGCAAGTTTCAAGTAATTAACAACATTTTTACAAACCAACAAAACACATGGATTCATTCAACATTCTCAGCTCATAAAATAGCCTGGAACCTAGTGTATGTCCAATAAATAATGATTAAAACAATTCAAGTGTTAAGTGTCTATCACCATTAATCTCACAGAACTTCTTAAAAACAAACCAATGACAAGAAAGATGAGTTAATGAATTTTTATCTTTAATTCAAATGGTATCTTCGTTCAGCTCTATTATCCATGGATATTTTCCATCTTGCCTTAATTCAGGGCTGACTGTCCAACTTGCAGCCCAAGGCTGCACCCATCCCAGGATGGCTATGAAGGTGGCCTAACACAAAATTGTAAATTTACTTACACTATGAGATTTTTAGTGATTATACGTCACTGTGTATTTAATGTGTGGCTCAAGACAACTCTTCTTTCAGCGTAGCTCAGAGACGCCATAAGGTTGGATACTCCTGCTGGATGCAATGTCTTACTCAACCCTCATTTTCTCTGATGTCGGCCTTCCTCTAACACCTTTTGCTCCATCACCTCTTAGCTTTCAACAAGCTCTAGGGTTTTAAATTAATGTATCAGTCAACAAGAAATCTTTCTTCAATACATTTTAAAAAGGTAGTGCTTACAGAAGCAGCTAAATTATAGTCCACAAATGTAGTCATGTTGATAAGGATACATTGTATCTTTTAAAAAATCTTTTACTTCAAATTCATACTGTGCTCATTTAGAAGATTATTTCACAAGTTTCCACAAATAGAAAAGAGAAGGTAGACATACTTTCACTGGAAAGCTGTATGGGTAACCTTCAGTTTTGCTCATATGAAATTGCCCTTAAGGCAGAGTGAGTAGTCTCTGACAGCAAAGGACCTTAGTTTTTACATTATAAGAGTCCCTACCTGGCAGGGACTTCTAAAACAATTGAAAATAAACTTTTATGGAAAATGAGCCTGTTTTGCATCATTGTCATCACCTACAAAACAGAGGGGGGAAGTTGACAGGGTTCTCTCCTTAGCCTTTGAGAGCTGATCAAGTGCCATTATTCCCCCTCGGATCCCTCCCCCACATACAGCATCACAACCGAACAACGTGAATTGCCCTGCCCTGGTGAACACCTAAGGTTCCTCCCCTCACTATATAACGAGTGCATCAAGACCAAAAAATGGCCCAAACAAAAGAACAGATCGAAGTTCCAGAAATAATACAACAAAGCAACAAACTGATAGCCAACTTATCGGATGCACAGTTCAAAACACTTGTAATCAGGATGCTCACAGAATTGGTTGCAAATTAGATGAAAAAAATGAAGGTTATGGTAAGTGAAATAAAGGAAAATTTACAGGGAACTAATAGTGATGGGAAGGAAAATGGGACTCAAATCAATGGTGTGGACCAGAAGAAAAGAAGAAACACCCAATTGGAAAAGAATGAAGAAACAAGAATTCACGAATATGAGGAGAGGCTTAGGAACCTCCAGGACATCTTTAAATGTTCCAACATCCAAATCACAGGGGTACCAGAAGGGGAAGAGGAAGAGCAACAAGTGGAAAATGTATTTGAACAAATAATAAACGAGAACTTCCCCAATCTGGCAAAGGAAATAGACTTCCTGGAAATCTAGGAAGCTCAGAGAGTCCCAAAGAATTTGGACCCAAGGAGGAACACACATCATCATTACATTAGCCAAGATTAAAATGAAGGAGAGAATCCTAGAATCAGCAAAAGGAAAGGAGGCAGTCACCTACAAAGGAGTTCCCATCAGACTGTCAGCAGATTTCTCAAAAGAGACCTTCCAGGCAAGAAGGGGCTGGAAAGAAGTATTCCAAGTCATGAAAACCAAAGACCTACATCCAAGATTGCTCTATCCCACAAAGGTTTCATTTAGAATGGAATGGTAAAGTGCTTCTCAGATAAGGTCAAGTTAAAGGACTTCATCATCACCAAGCCCTTATTATATAAAATGTTAAAGGAATTTACCTAAGAAAAAGAAGATAAAAAACATGAACAGTGAAATGACAGCAAATTCACAGTTATTAACAACCACACCTAAAACAAAAACAAAAATAAATTAAGCAAACAACTAGAACAGGAACAGAACACCAGAAATGAAGATCCCGTGGAGGGTTATCAACAGGGGATTAGGAGGAGGAGACAGGGGGGAACAGGTATAGAGAATAAGTAACATAGATGGTAGGTAGAAAATAGACGGGGGGAAGGTAAGAATAGTACAGAAAATGTAGAAGCCAAAGAACTTATATGTACGACCCATGGACATGAACTGAAGGGGGAAATGTGGGTGGGAGTAGGTGTGCAGGGAGGAGGGGAGCAAAGGGGGGCAAACGGGACAACTGTAATACCATAATCAATAAAATATATTTTTAAAAAAGAGGTAGAGACGAAACAGTCAAGTGAATGTGAAAGTTGTTCAATATAAGCTGTATATTCCAGGTGGAATATTATAGGAATAATAGCTAAAACTAAAAGTATTTGTTACATTGTGATGTAAATTAGCAATTGCTTATTAAAAATAATATGATGCTAAAGCTAATCTATTGTAGGAGTTTGCACATCAAATTTACATGTAGCTCCTTTCCTTCCTCCCTTCCTTTCCCTCCCCTTCCCTCTTCTCCCTTTCTTTCTCTCCTTCCTTCATTCCTTCCTTTTCCTGCCCTTCCCTCTTCTCCTCTTCCTACCTGCTTTCCTTCTTTTATTCTTCCTCCCTTCCTTTTTTCCTCCTTTTCTTTCCCCTTTCCTCTTCTCTTCTTCCTCCCTCCCTCCCTCCCTCCCTCCCTCCCTCTCTCCCTCTCTTCCTTCCTTCTCAACACCCCAAGTCTGGGCATGTATGGAAGGCAACCAATCAATGTTTCTCTCTTGCACTGATGGTTCTTTCTCTAAAAAGCAGTGAAAAAATGTCCTCAGGTAAGGATTAAAAAATTATTTTAAAGAATCTATGGGTATTGCCAGTTACAATAGTACAGTCTGAAGTCCCATATTTTTAAATTTTATGAGTCATAAAACACTTTTGGTTAAGGCTTCCTATTTGTGCTAACTGCATGGCAAGGCAGCCAATCTACCTTGGGAGTCCTTGATAACACGGGAAACCCTGCCTTACTTAGAACTGGTTTTACAAGAGCCTGTCCTTCAGTGCCCCTCATGTGGTGGCTCCTATTCAACTCAATATACGGAAGTTTTCCTGGTTCTTACTGACATCTAATCTCCATATAAGATCAACGTAGAAGATGAAACAAACCCATTTTAATGCCTGAGGATTCCAACAAATTCACACTAAAATTTCTTGCCTTTTGGCCTCAAGGACAGACTCTGGGAAACATTACGCATAACTTCTAATACAATGTCTGCCTTATACTCTAAAGGCATTTGTGCATTTGAATTAGTAGTAACACTAAATATGAAATCAGACAACTCCAGACATAACCTGATAATTTAAAGATGGCTATATTAGGTAAATACTAGAAAAGGTTGAATATTTTTAGTTTAGTTTAAATGCTAAGATAATGTTACACTATGTGTTAACTCATATAAGACAGTAATACGTTCCTCATTCAGTTCTCTGGTGCTCACCTACACATCATTTAAAGCTAAACTAATAAATAGTCGATTTTTTCCACATGGCCTCTCTATTCTATATTATAAATAAACATCTTTGGCTGCACAGGGGTATAAATCTTAGTTGGTACAGGCCAGGCTTGGATTTGAAGTCCAAGATGGCACACTAACTGGGCACAGCGGTTCCTTCAGTGGCATAGGTCTGGAGTAAGCCACGGGCACCGGCATGTAGTCACACACTCTGTCATCTGAAGGAGACCTCGTTTGCACCATAGCTGTCTTCTATCTGCTACAAAGAGATTTAAATTCATTGTGATTCTAAGACCATTACAGATTACGCAGATAACAAATATAAATTATTATCTTTCTAGGCAACTATCCAGAGTTACACATATATCCATCAGGTATGAATCTTCTAAGGGGTTGGGGGGGTGGGAGGGAGATACGAATAACGTTGTAAAGCCAAGCAGTAAAGAGATACCAGAGAGAGAGCAGAGAGGCTTACCTGTTCAGGCAGATGAAGAATGGTGTGCTCTCCGGCGCTGAAGTGTGACAGAGATTTATATGCAGCGTTTGCTACAACTGGGTCCTAGACAGTAAAACAAATTTAACAGAAAGCACATTTTAAACACTTTCAACTCTGGAGGAAGCAATTTGGAAATGGTATTCACTTGCCTTAGCTGTCCCAATAGAAATAGAGAAAACAGCATAGGGTAGAGAAATCAGAAGTGCTAAGTTTTTACCCAAGCTTAGACATTAAACGTAAAGTAACTTGTAATTGCTCAGGCCCCATAAGGTAGTATGCCTTAGTGGAAGATGTGTGAGGCTTAAAGTCTGATTGGCCTGGAACTGGAGTCTGATGTTCCAACTACTAACAGGGAAAATTAGCTCTTAGGAGTCTAAGCTCTTTCACTTATGAGTGAGGTATAACATCACCCAGGTATAACTTCTCCATGCTCCTTAACTGGAAACAATATCTAAAGAATGGATGGAACTTTTTGCTGGTTTGCCATGCTTGCTGGTGGGAGAGGGACAAAGCAGGAAAAGGGAAGGAAGGGCCATGAAAAATATGAGACAATGGCAACAGTTCCTCTCCAGACAAATGTCAGCTTCACAAAGTGATAAGTCAACTTTATGGTAAAAATGCATTAATGAAAGTAAATTGAGAATAATTTTTAAAGTTGAAACTTATGAATAATCACAATTTTTTAAAAATCAGGAAGCTGTCATATTTTTTATTCCAAGACTCTTATCTGATGGTTCTTCCCAGTTAGTTCTGTTTCGCTGATACCCCTTGTGATAGTACCTTGTTTTGAGTGTGGGTCCAGAGGAAGCTGAGGACTTGAACTTTAAAATTCTGAAAAATCAACAAACATCAGAATAAAATTTTTAAGACAAAAATGAACAACCTAAAATAGCTTATAGTAGAAATTAAATCACTTTAAAATTTATGCCACTAGTAATTGACTTAACCTGTATTTTCCCATTTATAAAATGAAAATACTCAAAAACAGACTCATAACTTAAATACACAGATATTTAAACACAATGGGGTTTTAAGGTTATTAAAATTAGAAACCTAATCTTTTCTTAGCTCTCAAGTCCCAGTACAAATGTTACAGTCGTGTTTCACGCCACTGTTCCTGACCCCTACCCAGCAAAGATCTCTCTTCTCCAAGCAGTCACATGGCACATTTCGGCATCTAGTGTGTGGGTAACTCCCTGCTAGACTGTATACACCTCTGAGCAGTGCCTGTCATTTTCATTTAAGGGCCTAGACCATCAAGCCCAGAACATAAAGAACACAAATCCCAGTTTCTCAAATGATAACTAATAAATAATTGTACATAAAATCATCTTCCAACTTCTAAATTCTTGCCCATCTAAATTACATAAGGTTCTTGTATACCTCCTTGACTTTGCATATTCTATTCCCCAGATGTCAGTGGGAAGCAACATTCCATTAATTCTTCAAGATCCTAGTCTAATAGCACCAATTAAATTAGGTTTCTGTAAGATTCCCCCTAAGAATGCTGCTCACTCCCACCACTATACTCTCAAAGCCCTAAGATTAACTGTACTCATTCAGTGTTAGAATTACTATTGCCTCTGTCTACCTTCTTTACCAGTCTTTGAGCTCTCAGAAGGCAGAGACCGAAAGCAGAAAAACATATGTTTCTGGTGTAACAGAAAAACATAGGCTGCCGAGCTATGAAGTTCTCCGTTTAGACACCAGCTTTCACTTAAAAACAACAATGTTGATGAAGTTATCTGTCTGGCATATGGCAGGCACTTAGTAAATATTTGTTTAATGAATGAATGAACCGTGTAAAAAGTCAGATTCTTTAGCGGAGGGGGGGGAAAAGAAAAAAAGTACGTAAAAAAAAAAAAGAATTTTCAAAAAAAAAAAAAAAAGAAAAAAAAAACTTTAAAAAATAATATCTTTTGGTCAGATATTAGATCTAATTGGTATAAAGTAACTAGAATAGTGCTAGAAATGTATAATAGGTATTTAAATTATTTTAAAATTTGTAAATATGTTTTTTGATTTTAGAGAGAGGAAGGAAGAGAAGCAAAGAGATTGGAAGAGGGGGGTGTGCACTTGAGAAAGAGAGAGAGAGAGAGAGAAACATGGATGTGAGAGAGAAACATCAGTTAGTTGCTTCCCATGCACATCCCAGCTGGGGATTGAACCTGCAACCTAGGTATGTGCCCTGACTGGGAATTAAACCTCCAACCTCTAGATGTATGGGATGACGCTCCAACCAACTGAGTCTTACCAGCTACAGCAACAGAATTGGTACCTTATAATAGTATCTATTATTATTTATTAGTACCTCTAAGGCCTAGCATAGTTTTAATAAATATATCCTGAGTCAATGAATAAATGTATTAGCATTTTGTAAAGCAATTCAGAAAATACAGTAATTGAAACATGGACTCTTGGACTCTATTTTCAACAAGCTTTTAATGGGTAAAATAATATATATACACATATACTTGCAGTATAAAATAGAAATAAACATTCTTAGAATAGTATAGATGAAGTTTTGGAGAAGTAAACTCTTGATTGAAGAAAAATTCTCAAAGAATGGAATGAGTTAAATCAATTCTTTATATCCTAATATAGATTTTAAAGTTAGAGACGAAAAAGAAAGTGATTCTAGGCAGAAAGAACAACATGAACAAAGGAAAAGAAACAGAAACGTTTAGAGACAGATAAGGAAGCCGTAAGTGGCTCTCGGTTTTCCTGGAGTGCACGAGGCAGAAAAGAGTGAGGCCAGATTCTAAAAGGTTTGATTGATTAAGTATGAAGAGAATGGGCTTCACTTCAGGCAAACACAAGGCACTGAGGTGACTAGGGATAGCAATGACCAATGAAATGCTTTGGGAACATTACTTTTTTCAACTCTGGCTTACATCCAAACAAAGTCTAAGCAGTTAACAGAAAACAAATTATTTAAACATACACAGGGAAGGAGGAACGAGGTGGGGGGTGATGAGGAGAAAGAGGAACAGGGAAAGACAGATGAAGAGATGTCTCCCTCTACATTTCTTTACCTCTCCTTCCATGTGGACTAGGTCTCTGAGGGGACCACCTTTCCCCCAGGAAACTGGGGATGGAATGAACAACAGAGGAACCTTAATATTAATATGAGCATGAAGGTAAACCAAAATAAAATGGCAATGTAAAATTTGAAGAAGAATAAAACACCCTCTAATCCAAAAGACAATTTATAGCCATTGGCAAGTAAACATAAGAAATGTACATATAAATCACTTCATAAATTAACCTATCATAAAATCTGAGTAACTCAAAGTATACGCAATATAAAGGTATGTGAATTCAGTCCTTGAAAACAGAAAATAAATACACACAACTTGCCCTTACTTTGATTTTTAGTGTTAGCTCCATTTCAGTAGCCTGGTAGACTTTCTGACAACATATAAGGTATGTACCAGTGAATAGTGGCCATAAAAAAAGACTGTTGGTGAACTATGTATTCTAGAAATCCCAAATTGATTTTTTTTCTGATTCAGTAAAACAAAATGTTGAAAATAAACATATTGAGAATAACATATGAGAATAAACTCACAGTATCCTGTACTGGTTCAATCATGCATTCAACAACTACTTACTGAATATATATTATGTGCCAGGCACTGTGTTAGCTGCTGCATACTCAGTAGGACAAATTTGATTTTATTCGAGGTTATTTAGAATAATTAGAAGTATTATCCTACAGTTCTGTTTTACCATGTGATCTAAAACATTGAAAGGGATTATTATTGGACTATAATGGGAGGGTAGTTTATCAAAGTCTGTGAATCAAACTAAAAGTCCACCAAGACTTGCAGTGAGAATCAACTGCTCCCCTTTAAAGGAAAAGGAAAAAAGGTGAACATGGACGGGAGTATGGCTACCAAGAGGAAGCACAAGTAAATTCACCACTCTCTCTATTTCACTCAAAGAAGAGTTAATGAAGAAAATGTTAAGCAGGAATGTCTGAATGTAGCAAAGCATCTTTCACTTAGTGCTTCAATTTATTATAATGACAAACTTAGAGTCATTCATAAAACTATTTTCTTCTTGTAGGATGGCTTAATTTATAATCATCCTCATTGCAGAGTAGAGACAAAAATGACAGGTATATATAGAAAATGGGAACCAACATGTAAAAATCAAATCTCTATGGCAAAGCCCGAAACAAAATGACAGTATGTCCACACTACTGAGAGCATCTGTCCTGCTTTTTGTAAAGTCTTTGTACATTTTTTTAGACCTTAAAATACCAACAAAATGAATTTCAACTGTTGGCCTAATGAATTCTATTATTTTAGAAACATTATTTTTAACATACTGACTTTTTCAAATCTTGACTATACTCTCATAATAAAAACTTGGTATCCTTTACATAAATAAGTCTTAAAGACACAGAATTGATAAGAGTGGATAGTCTCCTACTCCTAGAAGTCCATAAAGATATCAAAATGTTCTCAAAATAAAAAGTGCTAAAGGATTTTTGGCAAAGAATTACAATTTTTCCCCCAAAAGTTATTATAAAACATGTCTTTCCCATGTAAAAACAGACAATTTATTGAGCTGCAAATGCATACCTCATATTCAGCTGTATTGACCGTTAAGGAAGGAACCAGAGAAAACAGCTCACTGAGGGTCTTCAGAATGAGAGGTCTCGTGTCACAGCTCAGCTTTGGGGACAGAGCATTCCAAGTGGAGCGAATACACACCACCTGCGAAGCAAGTAAAAAGTCAATGCGTAACAAAACCCCAATACCTATGAAGCCATTAGTAAGGAGTACTTTTTAAAATATGTTCTATTTTTAAATTACAGTTGGCACTCAATGTTATTTAAATTTCATGTTATATAATTCTGTAACTTACATGTGATTCCCCAGTAAGTTCAGTACTCACCTGGTACCACACACAGTTATTACAATATTATTGACTATTCTCTCTGTGCTGTACTCTACATCCCCATGACAAGGGCATTATCTTGTATTATAAAAAAATTTGTTTGAGAAAATATAAGAAAATTCATAGAAGTTAAGATATGCTAAGGTATTGCCCTCAAAAGAAATTATTTAAACTAATATAAATGCTGTTGAAGAAGACCCAGGCTGCCTCAGACAATTACTTTTTTTAGTACTTTGGTTAGCCAAGGGGGAAAAAAGTCTCTCTCTGTCTCTTTCTCTCACACACATGCACACACATGAAATTAAATTCCAGATTAGCAACATTCATTGTTGAAGAACCGGTCTCTGAAACAAAGAAGGGTAAGACAATGCTGGGACATTTCTAAAGCCAGGTATCCACAGTTCTCATAGTTTTTCAACCCTGCTGAAACTATGACACCACTAAAAAAATTGGGATGTTTATATATATATATATATATATATATATGCACATTTATATGTGTGTGCATGTATACACATATGTATAGAAATACCTATATGAACATGTAAATTGTCTATATATACATTTTATATACATATATATGTGTGTGTATATATATATATAACTGAACACTCTTCAATTGTCTTATATGCTTTTAAAGAGGGTAGGAGAGTGCTTATATTATTTAAAATAATAATTTAAGATGGTTTTAAAAGTTATCTCAGATTTTTTAAGAGGCTGTTAAGTGATAAAATAAAAACCAAAGCCCAACAAAAATGTTTAAGCTCAATTTCCTTAAACCAAGTTTTTTTAGTTCATTTTAATATCTAACATATGGATATTCAAATGTCCTTTAAGTTCAATTCCAATATGTATTTTATTAAAATTTTAAAACTCAGACAGGAACAGTGCAAACACAGATCAATTACATAGAGTTTAACAAGGATTAATCTTTCTAAAATACTCCAATCTCTTCTCTTAGGGTTGAATTAACACACACAATTTATCTCCATCTACTCACATACATTATTTAGTAAAGCTACAGGAGGTAGTCAGAGAACAGATGTCAAAGATAAGTGAATAATATATACTTAAGGACACATATTGAGGAGGTGCACAGAGGAGAAGACAGGATAAAGTATCTCAGAAAACTTGGATTTAGCGCCGTTGCTCTAGTTTCCTACTTTCCATGAAACAGCAGAAAGATACTCTCTGACTTGGGATCCACTGCAACGTTGGATTCCAATAAAATTTACTAAGTAAGGGCAGTACTGTGTGCCAGGCATGAAAGTAGGCACATTTATATAAAGAAGTAGCTCTAATATTACAAATTGCCAGTACAGTTGTCCCTCGCTATATTGTGGTTCACTTATTTGCAGCTTCACTGTTATCACTTATCGCAAATAAGTGAACCCCGATATAGTGAGGGACGACTGTGTACCTCACTGGTGAGTACCTATATGGAATTTTATATGTTGTTCAAATTACGTAGGCTTAAGAGTGTAGAAAGTGTTTAAGAGCATATGAATTCTTTATAAGAGTGTAGGAAAGGTTAATAACAGAGTGGGAAAGGTTTATAACAATGAAGGAAAGGTTTATAAAGCCTTAAAATATATATAAATAATAAAATAAATATAACACTGCTACTTCACAGATGTTCACCTATCACAGGGGTCTCTGGAAGGTAACTCCCACAATAGGTGAGGGATCACTGTATTTGAAATTTAAAAGAAAATTTCTTAAAATCTTTCAACATTGAGTGTATTCCCAGAGTAGTCAGTATATTGTACTAAGGGAAACAATAAAATATAAAATATAACCCAAACCTTCAAAGAACTCAGCACCTATTGAAAACAAGAGAAGTGTATGTAATTCCAAATTATCAAAAAACAAAAGGTATATGATTAGATTTTGAACTGTGTTCAACAGAAAGTATTTTCAAGATGAATCTAGGGAAGAAAGATAACAGTAGGTGGAATTCAGCAGAGAGGGTTTCAAGAGGCAGTTAGTCTTTTTATTTTTTAAAATAATTTTTTAAATCCGCACCCAAAGATATGTTTAATGGTTGAGAAAATAATCCACGTGAAGGAGAAACATCGAAGTGAGAGAGAAACGTCAGTGGTGCCTCCTGGACATGCCCAGGTCACAACCTCAGCCTGTGCCCCACCTCACTGCGTACTGACCCTGCAACATTTTGGCGTACAGATGATGCTCCAACCAACTGAATTACCTGGCAGGGCAAAAGGCAGTTAATCTTGAGATGGGACTTGAAGAAGGGATAAAGAGAAATGAGCAAACGATCCACCAGGAAATGGAAAGCTTAAGTCAAAACACAAAAAAAGGGCATGTTGCAGGCACAAAAATGCTTGAGTACCAGTGAGGAATGCTTCACGGGTGAGAGATGATCTAAAATACCACAGCAGTTTGTACCAGGATCAAAAAGAAAAGGCAGCCTCTAGAAATTTCTGAATTGAGGAATAAACAAAACTAAAGTATGACTTTTGAAAGATCCACCCAGTAGTCTTATAGCTAAAGTCAAAGCAGTCCTCTCTCCAATTTCCATCTCTCGCTAATCCCTGGCACATAAAATAGCTTCAAAGTTTTCTAAAAATTGTATGCTCAACCTAGTCAGTAATTGTGCATGCTTTCTCCACACTTTAAATGCCTATCCAATTCCAATCTATGTTGTTGCAAGACCCAGTTCAAATCCCATTTCCACAATTATGTTTTTTCTTACAATTCAAACTCTCATTGTATCGCTTTTTTCCTTCCAGTTTCTAGTTCTTAAAGCTCTGTGTCACCTAATTTAGTGTTTAATTATATACTGCCTAGTATTGTTCACTCTTTTTGTGAACGTAAATTGTCTCAATTAGATATTAAATTCTTAAAAAACAATGATGTCTTATACTTCTCATTCCCCATTACTGAGCACGGTACTAAAGTATATGAGAGATTATTAGTTCTTAACTACTGATGATACTGAAACCAGAGGAATGGTAAATCTGAAGTAGAGATGAAAAGAACTTGGAGAATGAATTGGAAAGTTGGATATGATGAGCCTAGAGACCTGGGTGAATAAAATGTAAATTCAGTGTAATGTAAAGCTGGTGTAGCTCAGTGGATTGAGCACGGACTGTGAAGCAAAGAGTCGCTGGTTCAATTCCCAGTCAGGGCACATGCCTGGTTGTGGGCCAGGACCCCAGTAGGGGACACGTGAGAGGCAACCGCACATTGATGTTTCTCTCCCAACTCTTTTTCCCTCCCTTCCCCTCTCTCTAAAAAATAAATGAGTAAAATATTTTTTAAAAAATGTAACATCTGAGGCCCTGGCTGGTGTAGCTCGGTGGATTGAGTGCAGGCCTGGGAACCAAACAACCATGGTTCGATTCCCAGTCAGGGCACATGCCTAGGTTGCAGGCCAGTTCCCATCAGGGGACACACAAGAGGCAACTATACATTGATATTTCTCTCCCTCTCTCCTTCCCTTCTGCTCTAAAGATAAATAAATATTTTTAAAAATGTAACATTTGAAAAGGAGTGGACACTGAAAAAAGGAGCATATTTGCAAAAGATAGGGGCCAAAAAGTTCCACTTGAGATATGTTTGAGGTGATAAAAAGACACCCAGATAGAAATATCCTGCAGGCAAGAGGAAAAAACGACTGTAACTCAGATGTGAGGTTGATCAACAGCTCTGTCATGCAAGTGTTTCCATAAATCAAAATACAAGGAAGTATGGCCTCAGAGACATCCTGATGCACTTTGCAGATCAATAAAAAAAGATCTCTGGCCGCCAGCTACAGAAGTATGAAACAAATCTTGCCCTTTCCATGGGTGGTGGGTGGATGGGAAGTGAGGCTGCATACTGCAACTATTTTCAAGAGTTTACAATTTTATTTTTGAAAGTCTTCTTCCTAGAACATTCGCAATCTAATGCCTGAAATGGTACTCTACATACAGACTGTGAGAAAATATTCTAGAATCCAGTCATAAATGGCTTTATGCATACGCAAGGCATGCCTATGGAGGATATTTGCAAATCCAGGCTTGCCCACACAGAAGCAGGAACAGAGAGGCCTCCGGTAAAGAAGACTGCTTTCTCTGACTTTCCCCAACCTGAGCTACTCTTCACTAGATCTTCTGGCTCTGAGAGCTCCTTGGATTGAACCTGGTACCCTCCGGCTATGTCCATCTCCTTGATCCACCAGTGTTTAGAACTGTGAGATCTGTCAAATTATATCAGATTATTCAGGCTCATGATCCTGTCCTCTACTGGCTTGTTCAGCATTCTTCTGCACATTATCCAATAACTTGTTTGTTTTCAAAAATACAGATTGACTTCTGGGGTTCTAACAATGTGATGGGCCACACGTGAAATGGTTAATAAAGGAGAAAATTCTATAAATACATAGCTGAGCTGGAAAGGAAATAAAGGAGGATGGGGAGATATCACCCAGGGCTAGAGACAAAGAGGGAAATACCTGAGCTGAGGTACTATAAGGAATGTATCAGTTTCCATAACCTAGTAGCTTGAGTTTAAATGTCCACACAGGAAGAAGAGATAGAGCCTTTAGCCTACGTAAGGTGGGAGTTGGAACTGACACTCCCACATAAAACCGGCACCCTTGTAGGGCAGTACGTCCAGTGTAATGGTTGAACTAGAAACCAATGAGTTGAGAAATGAAAATAAAAAGTGTCATGGGCTAGGGGCACCTCAACCACTCTCAAAGGGTACTCCCAAAACACATAACCCAAGGAGTCACACAGAAAAATAAAATAAGAACCTCTAAATAGGAGGTCACAACAAAAGAAAAATTTCAAAACATGTAATGATGCAT